CATTCAAAATTATCTAATAAATGTTAAAACGTAAAACCGCTTAAGAAAAAAAATGACATGTATGCATATCGAGTAAGTTTTTCTGTTGTAACTTATAATCATAATAGTTTATATAGATGTGAGAAAATTTGGACAAATGACAAGAATTTAAGTACTGACATGACTAAGACTCGAATTTAATACATTTGGGCAGCAGCTATGCACTTATTCAATGAAGCAGATTTTGACATGTATACAAAAATATTTGGAACATCTTTGATCACTTTTTTGACTTTCCTCGAAGCATAAAAATTTAGATTAGAAGATATAACAGTCCTGTCATGTGATTATTTTAGATAGAAAAATAGTAGATCATAGTGAGTTAAGGGATTTGCCCAAGCCCAAGAATATAACAAAGTTAACAACAACTAACACACTAAGTTAGGATTAGAAATTACAAATTTTCTAATTCTATATTTAATAATTATAGATATATTTATGGAGGTAAATTGTGTCTTGCAGAGCATGATGCATCGGTTATTCTTGATATTCTTAGAGCAACAGATGAATTTTGCATGGACGAATTATCAGAATATATACAAGACTATTTGATAGAAAATCCATGGAGATTATTATCACATTTTGTTCGAGTACATCGTTTTGCATCAGAAGAGGAAAGATATCCGAAAATAAGAAAATGCGTGATTGAAATTATAAAGGAAAATCCTGCAACAATTTTTGACTCGAGTGATTTTGTTAAAATGGAAGACAAAACATTATTTTGTTTTCTTAAATATCATAATTTCAACCTAAAACCGATTTTATTGTGGAAACATATTTTAGAATGGGGTTTAGCACAACCTAGTAATAGTTGTCTGCCACCATCGTCATCATCATCATTGAATTCTGATTGGTCAGAAAATGATTTCAAATTACTGGGTAATTCATTAAAGCCATTCCTACCACTAATACCATTTACAAAAATGTCTGCTGACGAAATAGTCGAAAATGTGAGACCTTGGATGAAAAGTTTGGATGCTGCTATACCAGATTTTTATAAAGAAATTTACAATTATCATTTTTTGCCAGAAAGTGATGATTTAAAAAAAAATTTACCAGATTTATACTTTACATCTAGTATCTATTCAAATAATGGCGATGATGATGATATCTTTGATTCACAGCTTGCAACTCCATCGGATTTACATTTAATTATGGGTTGGGTTGATAGCGATTATGTCAACAAGTATAATTTGAAATTGTTGTTGCGTGGTAGTAGAGACGGGTTCACCCTAAAAAAATTTCATTCTTTATGCGATGTAAAAGGACCAACACTCATAGTGCTCAGAGTTGAGAGTACTGGTGAAATTTTAGGCGGATATAGCCCAAAAAATTGGTACTCGAACATACTAACCAACTATAGTAAAACTACAAAAAGTTTTATTTTTTCGTTGGGTGATAAAGTATTTAAATTTGATCCGATTCTTAGTAGAGTGACGAATTATGAATGTGCAATTTTTCAAAGCATGTATTACGGACCATGTTTTGGAGGTGGGTTGAAAGGTGATTTGAAATTAGCAGGTGAAAATTTCAAGGAAAATAGTGCATCTTGTTGTATTCAACACAGTTATGAATCTAGTATTCGATCTTCGGAAGATGGTTTCTCCATCGATGAATATGAAGTGTTTCAAATTGTTGAAAAGAAAGGTAAAGAAACTATCAATAATAAGAATAATACTACTCTTGGAAGTATTAGTAGCAATTATATTCTAAGTAGAATGAAGATATAAATTATTTATTAATAAAATTATTAAATTTTATATTGATTGAATTGAAATGGGTGAAATATAGTGTTTATGAATTAATAATCTCCTTATGTAATATGAATTTCAGTGCAAGGCTGAACTTTCTTTCTGCCGGTTTGAATACATTAATCGCATATCCCACTCAAATAATTTCGAGGGAAATGTTCACAGGAATATTCAAAAATTATAGCTCATTTCCTGCACAAATCGATGCAAAAATAACTACTCGTGGAGAGAATAATATAACAACCAAATACGACGAACCTTTACGGTGGAATCAACTCTAGACAATCCTAAAAAAATATGAAATAAATTACAAGGAATGATCCAACAATTTCCACCATCATCACAATATAAACAACAATAAATTGGAGCGCTGAAATTGTATTAACCAAATTTAGAAATTATTTTCTACAAAAATCACTAATCGAGTACCTTTGCATGAAAAGTTGTATTATGCTTTTGTTCCATTATATAAAACCTTTTTTTATATGCAGATAGAAAAAATCTCAAAAGATGTTATTTAAAGAAAATGATTACTATGGATGCCACACTCATTTATAGCCGGATCGCCAAGTTTGTCTTGGATAGATTTCTATTATAAATCAAGGTTCAAATACAAAATTTATTGATTTGATATTTTGCAATTTTCTTAACATTCATGGTTCCATTCTGTCTTATTAGTATAAATAAAGCGCGAAAATTATTCACGAAAAAACTTGCAAAATATAATAATAACTTCAACATCAATAACTTTTATCAACGACAATAAATCACATGTTTTCACTACATCTGCTGCTACATCTCTACTACATATACTACTTCTTCTGCTCCCATTACCACTACTCCCATGATGGTACACAAAGTCTATAACTACCATTTCTGCACTAATGATGCAATCCGTGTATATCCGTCATCCGTTCATCCGCCATTTACCTCTAAAAATTAATCCGTCATCCAGTAATTTCTCGCAGTTAATAAATCCCCTCATTTGGTATTGAAGTTGCTGAGACAGAAAGGTATTAACGAACAATTTTGCGAAAAGAGGGCACTTGTATTTGTAATTCCACCAATCAAAAGGACTACAATTAAATTCAATAAAAAATCAATATCTAAAATTCTTTATATTTATTTACCTTCAACAAAAATTCAATTGTTTTCTACATAACAGCAATCATATATTCTTTATTTTCAAACATCCAATAAAAGTTCATTGCATTATATAAATTCTATTAACTACACTTATAGTGAGTGCGCTTTCGATTTGCATCGGCTGATTTAAATTTAATTATTTTTGTTTAGCATTTTCCATTCCTTTGATAAACCAACCCACCATTAAAAACATCGTATATTCAGAATTGATATGGAATATTTCTTGTATCAACGGATGTGTTATACTAAATATCACATAAATATGTACTTCTACCCACCAAGGTATGCAGTTGCTTCTTCAAATGGTTTTAGAACTTTGACTAATTCCTTCAAAATTCACACTTAAAAGAATCTCTTTCAATCTTTTAGGACATCATAATTAGACTCCATGGAACTTGCTAACAATGAAATAAATCTTGATTTTTATAAGTCTTGTCCAAGAAATATAGCTAGAATTTCAACGAGTTGGAACATGTAAAATTACCACATCAGAATGTCTATTCATTTGTATTTGAATAATTTAAATATTTTTCAAACGTTCATTCTGCTTAAGGTGGAGGAAAAAACCTATGAGTCTTTTTGCTCTTTTGACTAAAATTTTATTACCAATAAACCTTTATCTATCACTTTTGTAGAGTGTGTAACAAGGTCGCCAAAATGTATTATGAGCAACTAATTCCATATCTTTTTAATATTAAAACAATTATCGGTTATCTAATATTGCCAACAATGATTTGCAGTATGTGTATACCTGATGTGGTTAACAGCAAGCACTTGTCCATGCATTTGTGTCTAATTTCTAAAATTTTGATCCACCTTCCTTTTAAAAAAGCTATTACTCCGTCAATCTCTGACCTCTCTATTCTGCACATGGTTGGTTGCCATTTTTGAAAATTTGCCCCAAATCTTGAATGAATGCTTATAGAAATTGATCGACAGGTCTAGAAGCTTTATCATTAGGGATGTTCAAAATTGTTCCGTTACTGTTTTCTGTTCCTCGTTATACAATATTTATTAGGTAATTGAAAGAAAATTTTCCATATTAATATCTATCTTTGGTACGGACCTGTATAATAATAAAATTTACACGTTTTTCTAAAAATGCCAACTTCTGAGGCATTGTTTCTAAATCTATTCAAGAAGTGATTGGTTCAGATGAATTTGATGAAAGTTTTGATGAAGACGAATTGCCCTTCGAACTTGATAAATACTTTGTTATTATTGTTTGTCATTATTAGTAGAAGTAGCTATCATATGAATTGAGTAAATACTTTGCCATTGTCATTATTAGCAGAAGTTACTTTTTGAACTGGATGGATAATTTATCATTGTACAACTATTTTTGATATTCTCGTTTTCTTTGTTTTATTTATTTTTTATCAGCCAATAAAAATTAGATTTGATCGTGTATCAAGGAACAAGAAGACACCTAATTAGATTATTATTATTTGAAAGTATGGCGCAGAAATAGTTTTCGTTACATTTTCTATCCACTCTCCTCTTTCCCCTACTCCACACTACTCTTACACCACCTTCGCCAATACCCAATAGTTTATATCACAACAACATATATCGATTATTTGCAAAAATACAAAAATAAGGTTCTAATATTATGTAATTCAACAGACAGCTTACATATATCATGCATGATTCTTATAACAAATGAATTTTTTTTTGTTATGTTTGTGTAATGTCATACGACTAATAACATTACTATTTTGAATCTTGGAAAAGAAAAAAGAGATAATTGAATATAATTTCGGAGTTCATTTTGTTAATTACTCAAGATCTCACAAAAAGAATTATTTAAAAACGTGGGTCAATTGAAAAACGGGTTTTTAGTCAAAACTTCCAAATTTGAACAACAAACAAACGATAAAATAAGCGAAGATTGGCTCAAGGAATATAAATTCATTTTATTTTAAAAATTAAAAACCATTCATTCATTAATTGGATTGCTTCTCTAATTTGTTAATTAATTAACAAATAGTTAAATTTCTCAAAGAGGTTATTTTCCACTTGTAAATGTTATATATATATAAAGCTACAAGTTAAATTTAAAAATTGTGAACTGGCTTGTGTTAGCGAGTCAAATGTGAATGGGAGGAATGGTCTGGATGTGGAAGCTATACAAAAAGAAGCTATTGCTTGTTTCCAGTAACATTAACAAGGTCAACAATTTACAAAAGAGTAGAAATTTTATCAAGGGTTGTTTAACTATTGATGTGATCAGGAAATGTGCAAAGAAGTTCCGAATATCGCTTTTGAATTTTACAGCAATGGACATTTTAGATAACGAATCCTTATAGCCGGCTTTTTTTGACTCTAGATATCTATTTTTTAGTTGCAGTAGTCTGTTTGGGTTGGCTATTCTATTCAGTGAATGTGCTAACGTTTCTTTAGGTGTAAGGTGTATGACTTTGCAGATTCTGTGAAAACAGACCCAATCCCCCTTCATAGACATGATCCTACAATGTATCACATGCATCTTACACAAATTGCTACATTATATCAATTTAGAAGTCTTGTTAATTATTATGCCATCAAGTCATAACGACAATCTTTTACCTATATTTTATCCTTGTTTTGGCCGCAACAACAATCAAAAAACAGAAAATTATCGTCATAATATAATTCTAATGCACATGTGCTAAAGAAAATGGATCAGAATGAAATTGTATTTGTGATGGAAAATAGCCATTATGGAAGCAGTCCAATGGTAAGTATCCACACACACACACACACACACACAATTCAAAAACTTGGTCATGCTTGACAATATCTCTTTCTAATTCACACGTAGGCAAACCTTTGAGCAATATCAAAGATCTTGCTTGCTAAAATAGGAGAAAGGCTAATGTTAGAAACCTAATTAAGAGATGTGCCATATATCAAGTGAGATGTTGGGTCTGACAAAAATCTCAGGTCTCACATGAATATATTATACTAATGATTGCAGATCAAAATCTCAGGCATAATAAATAATACTTTACATATTTGATCAACTTTGATTGGACAGGTAATAATAATATCCATTTTTTATGACATTGAATGGCTACAAGTGAATAGATTATGAAAAAAAGAACATAATCATCATTTGCTTCATAAAACTGTCCGTACAAAGCCTTTTTATTTTATTTTATAATAAAATCTATTTTTCTGACAATTATTTGCATCAAAACATAAATTAATTAATGCTAGTTTTTATGTAATACATGTATGTATATAAAAAAAGTTTGAAACAATATTTACAAACAAAGGAATAACTACACTACTAATGAATTCTCCTTTATTTTCACCCATCTTCATTCCTTTTTTTTAAAAAAAAACAAAAAAACCATCCATTAATTAGTTTTAATAATCAAAATAGATATATCATCAAATAGATAACAATAATAATTACCAAAGATTTTCCATCAAAAATTTCTAACAAAATAGTCTTTTCAGAAGCAGTTAATAATTTATTTTTTGAAATTATTTGCGAAGCAAACTTTCGATTAGATATCATACACACTTCACGTACTACGAATGCTACTATGAATGCACGATGTCTACCATCTTTATCTAAATCTTCCTTATTGTTATCATCAACGTCTTCATCATCATCATTAATCGGATTTGTTGGTGTAGTCACTGCTGTTGATGTCGTTGATACTGTTGATAACAACGAACAAGAAGGCGACGAAGGTGTTGATGGTTCATTCATTTGATAATAACGATTATGATATATAATATATAATAAATGGTTTAGTTGTTTTGAAGAAAATGAAAACTAGTATTGTATTTTTTTTAAAGAAAAATTATATTCATTAAATGATATTGCATTGCCTTAAATGTAAAAATTCATCTATAAAAAGAGTCTAGAACCACCAAAAAAATGCAGAAAAAAGAGAACTAAAAAGGTCCAGACACTTTTTTTTTGTCATACACAAATAGTAATAGTAACATCGTACAATCGTGACGGGAGAATATTAAATATTAATATTAAATTGTTTTGGGTTTTTATTAATTCAGAAATATTAAAGATTAAGATCGATTAATTGATTATGTATATTACAAAAAAATTATATATATATATATATATTATATGTATGTATGTATGTATGGCTCGAATTAAAAATTAGTTTAAAAAATA